CTCCTGACAAACATTGCAGATACTCATGTTAAATATGATAAATTCTCATCACATATAGAGRATATTACATGGGCGCGCGGAGATACGGATTTTATCTTCGAGTGTTGAAAAGATCTCTCACGAGTGATCATAGCGAACGAGTGAGAGATTTTCAACACGAGAAGATAAAATTCGTATCTCCAAGCGAACATGTAATATTCTATTTATCATATAGTTGTATACGAAAGCAAATTATGTCGTAAAATAGCTTTTTTCTTACTTTCACTATATAGAGAAACCTCGAATGTGTTATTTTCACTAGTGAAAATAACATGTTATTTTCACTAGTGAAGATATCAAGTTTACGAAATGGAGAAATATAGGTATTTCATAGATAATTATATGATAAATTAGTATTAATTATATTCATATTGTCTTAAATGAAACTCGACTTTTCTTATAATCGACTCGCTGTCYTTCCTTTATTAACATACTAATATATTTGTTTTACGATTTCTAGTCCATATGTTTATCAAAATTTCAAAATATCAAATGATTCCAGAAATTTTATCAAAATAAAGGAAAAGGTGGAGGATTGGTTTGTCAGGTGTAACAACAACTGATGCAGCATACGTGAAAACAGATTCAACAARACGATATTTCAGGAAAATTTCTATAAAAAAAAGATATATATTTCAATTCAGTGTTTGATGCAGGTTTTAAATTTCTAAGAAAACCCAGCTGCGGCCTTGACTAGTGATTTTAATACAAGTATCTCGTCTAGGCCTTTTAACCTTTATTTTAATAATCATTATATCGYTTTTTATGGTAAGTAACATTGATTTGTGTGTTTTTACAGCATCAGCCATGAATACAAAAACGATTCTTGTTCTTGTTGTTATTGCCTCTGTGTTGGTGCTTGAATCAATAGCCGTTCCTGTCCAAAGAAGCAAAGCAATTGACTTGTTGCTCAAACGCTTCCAAGACATAGTAAGTTGCTAACAGTACGGTCGGTCTGTATCTTCCTAGCGCGGTYTAGCTTGTTTTATTTTGACCGCACGCTAGGTTACGCGGAAGATCTGAATAATTATAACTTTTTTTAAATAAATAATTACAACTCAGTCAGTGATAACTCGAAGGAAATCTTCTCATAACTTCCTTGATGACTGATTCGCACAATTTCACTGTGTAACTCTACTCTAACGACTTTATCTATTTGGCCAATCACGTTGCTCTGTTGCAGTCACGTGCATTGAATCTCTTCTGCGGGTGTCGGCTATACGAAGGCTTGATAAAGTTATTAAATCCATTATAGATTTTGTTCGTTTRAATCCAGGGTTTGATTAAATTTAACCAATCACCTTGCGCCATTTCGAATACACTGGACAAAACTGCATTGTAAATTTGATGCAAAAATAATTTCAGTAACATTTCCATGATTTTGAACACTTACGGTAGTTATTATAGATTGAATCATATTTCCGTTAAATTAACCAGCTTCAAGGAACGCGAGTTTTTTTCCCAGCAGCAAACTGCAAGAAATGTAAAARATATGTACAAAAATGTGTATCTAATGAGTCTTGAAACCTTTTTAATGTGAATTAATTACTAAYTGATGTATTTCTTTTAGAAAAGACTTTCAAAGAAATGTAATCGAATCGACAAATCGTGCTATGATTCAAGGGAATGCTTCTGTGACGGGGTACGACGCGTAGAATGCTCTTCGATTCGAAAGGATGGAAGAGGAACTTGCACTGCAGCCCTCGGTCCAAATGATTTTCTTCAATAACTAGAGAATAATTCTAATCATCTTAATTTAAAAAAGTGCATATAAAGGATTTTTCATGCCTTCTAAGAAAAGTTTAACGATTTTAAATTGGAATCTAAAAACGGTGTTAGATTCGAAAACCTCTCAAGAAAAGCGTGCCATGATTTGCGACAACTCTTGTCTGGACCACAGGGAGCCCAGGCTCAACACAGTTTTGTTGCTTTCACGGTGTTGTCAATGTTTGCGTGGTTCGCGGTTCGAAGCGTGGTTCCCTTATGAAGCCGTAAATTTTTTCTACTTCATTTCTTGAGA